CAGTACTCTAATCCCTAGAACTGTGTCTGTAAGCAGAGTGGCTCAACATTCCCATGATCATCAAACCGATCACCTCCCATAGACCGATTAGATCTCACAGGTTAGGTCTTCTCCAGATTCCATCTGCCAGCCAATGTCGGCTGGTGACTCCCCGGGGGAGAGCCTTCTCTGTCGCAGCTCCAGCCCTTTGGAACGACCTCCCCGTGGAGATCCGGACCCTTACTACCCTCCCGGCCTTCCGCAAAGCCGTTAAGTCCTGGCTGCTCCAGCAGGCCAGGGGGCTCTCGAAATATCCAGCCCCACGGAAACTGTGAACTGTTGTGTATTTTAAAGTGTTGTTTTGTGTATTTATCCCCTTCCCTTGTTTATTGTAAGCCTCCCGGAGTCCTTTGGGAGTGGGTGGCATACAAGACCAATAAACAAACAAACAAACAAACAAACAAACAAACCTCACAAGTATCGGGTTTTTCTGATGCTCAAGATATTAAAAACTTGTTTTTCGTGGTAAGAAAGAAACAGCAGATGGCAAGGAGCTGCCATCTCTGCTTCCTGCTGAGTTCCGGATTATGGATTGCAAGGGCCCAGATGTCACAAATATATAATGCCCCAAATACAGAAAATGTAAATGCAAAGTGCCCAACATAGCACAGAACAATTGATTTGCAACTGAAATTATTCTACTTCATACCTATATCAGCATAGAAACCCTTTGAAATCTAAAGCACCTGTAAACACCGTGCCGTAATATCAATTACATCAAGGGAGAACAAATCTCATCATGCGAAGTTATTAGGATGCGAGGAATATGTAAATTTAAGAGCTGTTGAGAGTTACTCATCTATCCAAACTCCCTAAATTCCAAATTATGGAACCCAATGAGCTTTCTGCTCAATTTATAGCAAAACCTTAAACGCGTTGACTCAGAAGCAAGGATAGAGACGATTCTTTCTGTAGACCCATGAGATTCTACCCATGAGATCTGTCCACTCACCTTCCATTAATAGAAACGATGCCCAAATCCAGAGCCTTGAGGGCTCAATGTGCTTTTGTCTTGACATGGTTGCCTAGTTGTTGTGCAGATGTCACCCAAAGAGAGTCACTGGGTGAGACCTTGTTCACTGCCGCTCCATTGTACCCCCAGAACTTTTAGGTTGTTTAGTCCCACCCACATCACACACACACCAAGTTTCGCCCACTGCAAACAGTTCTCCTCAACTCCTGAGTCCATGTACGTATATTTTTCCTTTCCTGGCCACGGGATACAGGAAGGGGTGGAACTGGGTGTGAATTTCAGCTGCAGCTATCTTCCAACTTCAGTTGGAAAGCCCAGCTGCCTAAAAATCACACTTTTGCACGAAAATGAGTCTACACACAAGCATTCTAGTCAATTCCTGCTTCACAGTGGGACCCTGTCCTATTTTTAAACAGAAAAAAACCAGAACTTTTCTTCAAGCAGATTGTTTCCCCCCTATCTCTTCCCCATCCCATTTCCCTTCCTTCAATTATTTCTACTGCAACCCTGTTTTGTGCATGTAGGCCAAACAATACGGTGAAAATACAAATGGTTTTGCAGCACAATGGGTTCTAAACATCAAGCTAAGCTCTTTGCCAATGTAAAAATCCAAACTATAATTTCATACCTTCCTCCCCAAAATCTGATTTTTTCTTGTTTTGCTAAAAGTGTAGTAGGCGTTTACAGTAGGCATATGATGAGACTAAGGCAGGGATTGGTGGCACTCAGAAACACCACAGGGTCCAGGATTTGATTATATAGCACTCACTTATCTCTAAATTGTAGTGCGTCCTACGTTTCAAAATGTTAATATATATTTACTTTTTATACAGTAGTTGAATATACACAATGCAAGGTACAATTACATGATAATGTCAGCTGCCTGAAAGCTTTGCTGGTTCTGAAATTAACTTCTCATGAACCGCTAAGATGTTCATCAAGATATAATCACACCCTTTAAGAACCGTATGAAAATATGAGGCCGTTAAGCATTTTGTGCACTGCCTTTAATTCCAGAACAACATTTTCCTTTGCAAGACATAGATCCCCTAGGAACGTTTGCAGAATAGGATCATAAAGTCAAAAATGGGATCCACAATGGTGCATTCAAAGTTCCACTTTTCTTTAGTGTGTCATGCATAGCAATAGCACATATGTACCGCTTCACTGTGCTTTATAGCCCTCTCTAAGCGGTTTACAGGGTCAGCATTTTGCCACCAACAATCTGGGTTCTCATTTTACCACCTCAGAAGGACGGATGGCTGAGTCAACCTTGAGCCAGTGAGAATCGAACTGCTGGCAGTCGGCGGAATTAACCTTGCAGTACTGCATTCATATGACAAGAGGGTGATGTGATGGCTCATGGTTAAAACAATGAGCTTGTCAGACAGAAAGCTGACAGCCCAGGCTTGAGACCCAAGTGCCACATGACAGGATAAGCACCGTTACTCACCTCAGCTCCTGCCCAATCCAGCAGTTCAAAAGCATATAAATAGGAATAGATAAATCGGTACCACTTTGGTGGGAAAGTTACTGCATTCTGTATTTTCATGCTGGCCAGATGATAACAAACACATATCTCAGACAATGCAGGCTCCCTCAGATGAGAATCAGAAATGAGCACACAATCTCTAGAGTTGGTCATGACTGGACAAAGAAAACCTTTCAAGCTTTACATGTAACAAGAATCAGACTGTCTAGTGATTAAGGCACCTGGACCAAAACCAGGAGACTGTGAGTTCTAGTGCTGCTTTAGGCATGAAAGTTAGCTGGGTAACTTTGCGCCAGTCACACTCTCTCTCACAGCCCAATTTACCTCACAGGTTTGCTGTGAGGAAAATAGGAGGAGAAAGGAGTATTATGTATGTTCACTGCCTTAGGTTACTTATAAAAACAAAGGTAGGATTTAAAAAAATTAACTCTAAAGATGCGCACATGAGGGGGTGGGGTGGAGGACAGGCAGAGCATTGATTGAACCATTTATTTTTGTCATCTTGACTTTTCTTTATCATATCCTGTAAATATCTCTGGATTGCACCAGGTCCACAGAGATTTAAAACACATTGGTTTCTTTGTTTTGTTTTTAGTTCCCCGCTAAGTTTTAATATAA